TAGGATTCTCAATAAAGCAGGAATTAGTGTGGCATTCAGAGACAGGCTCTGTAGGCTAAAGGACCCAGTTGACCCAATAAGACAAAATAATATAATTTACAAAATACCTTGCAATGGCTGTGAGTTAGGTCAACTACATAAGTGAAACTAGTAGATTAGGAGTAGTCAGATTATCAGAACATAAGAATTTAGCCAAGGTTAGAATGATTGATCCCACAAAGACAGATGAGTAATTTAGAAAAAGACTCAGCAATCGCACTGCATGCATTAACGCACAACCACAGAGTAGACTTGGAGGGACAGAATCAAAGTTCTAAAAAAATAACATTGCTAGGTGGAGAGAGAGAGGGTGAGAGAGATTGATTACTGAATCCTTGTTCATTGAATCTATACACCTAACACGTGCAACAGAGATGAATCATCACCGGTACCAGAGATATCGAAAATATTACTACCAATCAAATCAAGAGATGAAAAATAATGGAACTGTTTACGCGAAGTTTGAACGTCATGTGTCGTGTTATGAATATAAGCAGTAAACTATGCTTGAAACGTCCTAAGTAAATAATGCTGTAATATAATCAGCTTTTGTGAAGTTTTACTCTAACATACTGCCCAAGTTGTATTATTATATCACTGTTATAATTAATACATTAATAATCACTTTATTCCAAACACTAATATTATAGTAAGGTGCCTCTTCAGTAGAATCCAACGAATATGCACCAAAGATACCCTGAATGGTGAAGAAAGAAAGTTGAAACAAACTCTGACTGATAATAATTATCCAGACAAGTTCATAAGGAGATGTAAAGTGGTCAGTGGAACACCAAGACCCACCCATTATCCAACTCACCACTAAGAAAGACGTGTGCATCAAGCTAACCTACGCATGGGTGATCATAGCAGCTTGACAACTAGACAAAGATTCAACGCTGTAGTTAAAAAGACTTTTATGCAGCTAAGATAAGAATAATTGAGAATTTGAAGCCCATATATCCATCTGAGCCCTTTGAACATGTGGATAATGATGTCACATCCTCCTACTGTATTTACCAATTTGAATGTACTTGTAGACACATATACATAGAAGGGAGGACTGATCGATCTCTGCAAGTAAGGGCTTCAGAGCATATTCCTAATTGTTTTCAGAAGCAAATGGAATCCTCAGAACCCAGACGACACAGCTCTTCTCTTCAGAAACATATTATAGAGACAGGACATAAAACTGATGTTTACACACGTCTTTTAAACCTATCTATGAAACATGTTTGGAGGAGGACATACTAGCAAAGGCCAAAGTCTTAAAGTTTTTGGAAGCTCTAGATGGCAGTTAGGAAGTTTAAACCACCTTTATAGGATCATAGCAACAATTCGTCATCATACTAAACCACCTTCCTTGGTAAACTTCATTTTGATACTAGGGCAGATGTACTATATTATGTCTCTTATTTGGTTTAGTGATCCTCATTGTTATCTTGACCTTCAGTTTGTCCCTTTTAACTTGACCTAAATTTATTTTCTCACCTCTTAGCTCTTTATTAATGTCATATATATGTAATCCTATGACAAGTTCACGTGTGATCAGATTGTTCGAAATAAGTATTGCGCAAATACAACATTACACGATTCAGACGAATTACGTCTTCTTATTGCTTTGTCTAAATTCATAAAGGGAACTGATTGTTTTTAAGCAGTTATCATACAGAATAGAATTTTAAGCATTTTTATGAGCATTACAACAATTTAGCTCCTTAAATAAATATATAAATACATAAAATTAAAAGTAATAATAATAAAACCAAAAATGACTGAAGGATGGCGGAAACATAATGAATTATAAATCGGTAATATCATGGATAATACATATAATAACAACCTCTTTTACCTACCTGGAAAGCATCGTTTCAACTACAGGCCGCGGAACTGACGAGGATATCAAAGCAAGAATCGGAAAAGCAAGACAAGCTTCCACTACTCTCAAGTCTGTGTGGAGGTCAACAACACTCAGCATCAAAAATAAGATCCGGATTTTCAACTCCAATGTGAAGTCAGTGCTACTTAACATACGGATCAGAGACTTGGCCAGCGCGTCATAAAGAGCACCTCAAACAAACTACAGACCTTCATTAACAGTTGTCTTCGCTCAATACTCAAGATCAGATGACCGGCCAGAAAAGATCAGCAACAGAGATCTCTGGCAATGAGCGAACCAACAACAGGAACCGATTGTGAAACAAATAGGCAGGAAGAAATGGAGATGGATTGGCCATACTCTGAGGAAACCATCAAGTGACATCACTAGACAAGCCAGTGCTCGAGTGGAACCCGAAAGGGAAGCGGCGAGTTGGTCGTCAGTGGAAGGGTGACTTGGAGGAGGTCATGTGAAGAGGAGATGAAAACGTGTGGGCAGATTTGGAGCCAGGTGAAGACTCTAGCAGAGAACCGAACGCAATGGAGACGCACGGCTGAAGCCCTATGTTCCTCTAGGAATTAAAGGTTACAATAATAATATTATAATAATAATACATATAATAATATTAATAATCTTTGCTTATACTTTGCAGTTCAGTTACTGATTTAAAATCCTTATAAGTCCTTTTCTGATATATGATTCTCTCTTCACACAAAATCCGTGCTAAATATAGTGGTGTGGTGGAATTTTTTTATCTTCCTGCACGAGCATAAATTCTTAAGAAATTTCTTCTAGTTTCACTTTCTAGAGAGATATAAGGAAAAAGTTGCGAATCACAAAGAGCACGTTCTGTATCAGACAAGATAACTTTAGCCAACTGCTTGCACGAGTTGAAGTGGCTTCCAACAACAGTGTTAGTTAGTTGAATCATAGGCACACCACTCTGACCCTACTTACAGCCTTCAGTGTTATATAGAATAAGACAGTCTTTTTTTGAGAAGTCCAGGGAAGAATATTTCACTACTTTTATTTATTTATTATTTTTTTATTATTATATTCCTGTGCATTCCGAGTGGAACATAGGGCTTCAAGCTTCATCTTTGAAGTTTCACTAGCAATGATTCTAGTTTTCCGGGGTGGGGTTACTAATCTCAAGCCCAACCTTCCCTATTTACCTGGCTTACCAGTTAAGCGAGGTTTAAGATTGCATAGGCAGGGGATCGAACCCAACACCACTTGCGTCGTTGGTAAGTATCCTACCGCTGCACAACCACCGACGCATAAAGCCCATCACAAGCAGGAAACGAACCTGCGAGGGGAGACCCCATTTGATTTCCAGTCACTACTGAGTTTAGTAATTTGTAGCGAAAAGATGCCATCATGCTTCCTGACAAAAGTCTCCCACAATTAAATGTTAAGGCTAATGAATACAACACATTATATATTTTTGATAGAAATTAAAACCTACCCGATACAATAGATTTAAACTGAGCATATCCTATTTGTATATTTGTTGTATTATCTAACAATCGACAAGTGAATGTCCAAATCTCTTGTTTTCTTATATTCAGTCTATGCAAATGAACATGTGCTTCATTACGTAGACCATATTGATGTTTATAATATATTGGATAGATAGTGAAGTTGTTTAATTCAATAATAAAAGTATAATTTGTAAATGTTTCAATAGCTGGTGCAATACACGTCAATATTGGTTGATCTCCTTTATAGATAACATTGTATTGGGGAGTAAATATTGGCGTAATATTTGCTAAAATAATAGAAGAAAAAAGCTTTAAGAAACTGATAAAGTAAAAGAAACCAACTAAGATTATCTGAAGTAGTCTTGGGTTGGTAGACTGTTCCTGATGTTGTTGGCAGTAATCGTAGGTGAAACAAAAATTTGGGCTGCGGCAGGATTTGAGCCAGAGGAAGCCAAATAACTAGTCTGGTGCTCTACGAGGTGAACCACGAGACCCAACCGTTATTATTATTATTGTTCCCTTGGGTTCCTAGTGGAACACAGGGATTCAGCTACACGTCTCCACTTGCTTCTGTCTTCTGATGTACTTTTCACCTGCGTCCATGTTAATCCATACTGTTTCAGCTCCTCTTCACACGATCTCCTCCATGTCACCCTTGGACGTCCCACTCACCGCTTCCCTTTCGGGTTCCACTCGAGTGATGGCCTGATGTGCAGTTTCACCCAGCGGCCTCCTCAGCGAGTGTTTAATCCATCTCCACTTTCTCCTGCATATTTGTTGAGCGATTGTTCCTTGTTTTGTTTTTTCTCATAGTTTCTTGTTGGTGATTCTTTCTGGCCATCTGATCTTCAGTATACAGCGAAGACAGTTGTTGACAGACCCAACTGTTAACAATGTTATTATTGTTATTGTGATCACTACGTGTGACATTCAGCTGTAATTTAAATTAATGACACGTAACTGTCAGTTTATCATCGCCTCAATTGCAAAGCTAAATCTTCTCCTAGCAATCTTAATCATACCCCAACTGCAGTCCGCCAATCCAAGACCTTATCAGATAACAATTTCCTACTGTCCTTACATTTCAATATGATCAAGACTAATGAGTGGATACCCAACTGGTCAGTTAGTGTAATGATAAACAGGCAATGACGTATCATTCATTCATATAACATCTGAGAATTACTCATGATGACTGCAGTGAAATAATGACCTGTTTATCAGCTGAGTCTTCTAGGTCTGTTGGCAGAGCTCCACACTGACTATTCGACTCCCGTTGGTTCTAATCCTTCCCCGACCGAGGCTTTTAATTTACCTTCAGTCATCTCCCAGTACACAAATGAATATATGTTGTATGCAAGCAGTTCAATAAACCGAAGAAAAACTTGTGCAAATGAGTACCAGTTAAGAAGTTAGTAAGTATTTGTATTTAAATCTAATTCCTTTGAATTTCACATAGTGTGGTGAGAGATGGTTGCTAGCCAAATTGGTTGACAGTAATTGAGGTCAATGTTAGTCATGTGAAAACAAGGTCAAGATGGACAGGCGGATACAGTTACATAAAGATGAACTGACACAGCCACAAGAGATGCAAGGTTAACTTTGTGTGAGAAACAACCAATCAACAGACTGTAGTTTCTACTAACATTAACCTACAATAATGTACATCAAAATCTATAAATATGTGTTGATTTTCCGTAATAAACGTTCTGTTGCCTGGCCCTTGTCTTCTGTTGTTACAATAGTACACAAGGATCCAAGCTTAAGCTTTGAAGTTCCACTAGCATTGGTGTTTTTTTACGTGGCATGGGCGCCAGTTTCACCTCCAGCCTTCCCTCTTCAACAGGTTTACTACTGCCTAAGCGAGGTTTAGGAGTTTATCGGCTGTAGGTCGAACACTGGATCAAGTGTGTGGTTAGCAAGTACTCTGCACCGATGCACTTAAGCATTATCCACGAGGCTCATAAGGGTGAGTCGGTGGCACAGCGGTTAGGACTTTCGCCGACCATGCATTTGGTCCGGGGTTCGATTCCCTATCGACGCACACCTGATATCTATGGTCGGCCTGCAAAATTGCGCTATCGATATCACATGCTGTACCAAAAACATGGTGTGAAATCAAGCTATAATAAAAATATAAAAAATAAAGTCCCTACTATACGTTTTTGTAATATACAAAACTAATGGAGCAAAGAATGACTGATCCTCCTTGTTCAGTTTATTTGTCCTTACTGCTGCGGCTCAAACAAGATTCACTCAAACAATTGTGGTCTGAAGGAACAACAACTGAGAGTAAGTAGAATATCTAAATAACCTGCTTTTCATATGAATTTGATTGGTCAAGTAGGTTAAACTGTGAAACACTGCATTCTTGAAACGATAGAAGAAGCATGGTGGAAATGAGTGACCAGATAATTTCTCTTGATATTTCTTGATATTCCAGCAAATAAACTAATTATGCTGTCAAGTATATAAAAGCACCTCAAAGATACATCGCCAGTGGTCTTCCAATTAAAGACGATCAGCCAGTCAACTAGACGCTTTCATTTATTTTGCATTGTCATGTGTTTGAATCCTATTGTTTATTCACTGTCTTAATTCATTAATGACATTAGTGCTTCTCAAGGTCATTTTAAACATATATATTTATGCAAGCTCTGCCAACTATTTTTGGACTGTTGTTTTGAGACAGTAAAAAGGTCTCTTATCAACGTCCAATATTCCCTTCTGTCTTTGCGTGCGGGCTTTCATTGTTGTCGCTGACGTGCAATTAGGACAGATTAGCCAGCACATTAAGTAAGTATTCGCTCAGAGTCTACGGGGTCATGGTTCCTGTCATAACACTAGCAATCTATTCACTAAGTAGCTGTAACATATTTACTAACAATCAATATTATCATCTGACTAGTCTCTGATTCTCATTTGAGTTTTTCTTCCATATTCTCAATACACCACGAAACGATAAGCTTTACAAGAACCTTTAATGCACCGCTCAGTTTACAGAAAAAATCAAACTTTTAAAAATTAGGGTAGGGACAGTAATGTAGAATAACAAGCAAATTCGTGTCTCTAAATGAGCCCCAAATATTTCATCTTTAACGATAAATTTGCACCACTGGGATTAAAAAGAAATAAGAGATCCGTGAAAGTTAGGGAGCTAATGATGAACAATAGCACGGTTGCTACATTCTGCTAGGGTTATCCATTTCTATAACCTCCCAATAATCTCCTTGTCTAGATACATCTACGAACACATGTTTGTTTTTCTTCAATGCCTGGGAGGCCTTGGCAAAAGTTAAGAGTGGACTGGGCTAAGGAGTAAGCTACTTGTCTGACTAAGACTTTTTTCTATAAGGTTAGGTGATCATATTACTACCACTAATGTTGTTTCTATCTGAGGCTTGCAAGCGAACCTTCAGTAATGTAAGTTATTGGCCTCTTATACATTGTTCTGTGTAGAAGATCTGGATTTTGCCGATGACTTATGTCTAATGTTATACAAATTCGAAGACTATATTCGAAGACCAACGAAATGGAAGAAGAGGTAGGGAGAGGAGACAAGATTTCAAGTGAACATCGAGAAAATGGAGGTGATGAAGGTAACCAACCAACAGCAACAACAATCAGGATCAATCACTATCAACAGAATGAACTTGAAAGAGGTCACTTCCTTCACTTATGTAGCTAGTCAACATCGTTTCAACTACAGGCGGATGGTGCGGAAGGCAAAACAGACATTCATCACTCTGAAATCAGTTTGGAAATCTTCTGTACTCAACCAGCATAAAGAACAAAATTCAAACTTCTAACACAAATGTTAAGTCAGCCATTTCTTCTACATGAGTCTGGAAGTTAGCGCGTCACAGAAAGCATGACCAACAGGCTACTATAGACTTTTATCAATAGTTGCCACCTTCGATGGCTCCATAATGGAGATCAAATGGCTGGACGGCCAGAAGGAATCAGCAACAAGAAGCTTTGGGAACAAACCAACAGGTGAGAACCTATTGATCAACAAATGTTTCGAATAAAAAGAGAAATGGATCGGACGCACACCACTGAGGAGACCGTCAAATGACATCGCTCAACAGACCATCTCTAGAGTGGAATCCGAATGAAAAGCAACGAGTTGGACTAGGATCCGAGGATGACATGGAGGAGATCGTGTGGCAAGGAGGAGATTATATCATAAAATATTAGTAATAATGATAAATAATTACTTACTCAGTAATGTCAACTCTACATTTAACATTAAATCACTTTGCGGATGTTTACAGAAGAATTTAGATTGATCTAAATGTTTTCCAATAATTGTACAATTATGCTTGTGATCACATGTAAATATCGGAGGACGTAAATCTGTAGGATCTGGTAATAATTCCATAGAATTACCGTAATTATCAATACACTTTGGAAATAGATTATACGTTACATATCTAATATTTGGATGCAGGATTAAATATGGATTATCTAAAGAAAATAAATAGAAAAACAATCAATAATTTTTTTTGGAAAATACATACTTGAGAAGTATTAAAATGCTTATTTTAATAAATTACAAGTAAACCACCGAAAATCCATAGGAAGATAGGATTGTGCGTCAGTGGCACAGTGGTTAGGACTCTCGACGACCATGCACATGGTCCGGGGTTCGACCCCCTGCCGACGCACACCCGATATCTATGGTCGGCCTGCAAACTTTGGGCTACCGATATCCATGCTGAACATCCATACTTGGCATCAAGCTGTAATCAAAAATAAAAGTAAATAAATAAAAAGAGCTCACTACTTCACTTATTTCGGGAGTTGTATCAGCCCCGATAGACTAATTTGCTAGTGAAATGTCAGCAGAGATACCAATAGGCTCGTTCGACATCTGTTAACTTCCTTCATCTCCGGTGTAGATGTGATGGCCGTCTGTGGAGTACGTAACCATATGATTGTACATTTTTTTTGTTTAGACATTATTATCATGACTATTACTATCTCTTCGTACACTTTGATGTCACTGTTACTATAAAAGATAACTATCACTATTATTTATTTATTTATTTATTTATATGTATCTCAGCTACAAAACAGGTATCGCGTTTTTCAGAAACGATCCATTTTCAATCCATTTTTTTTCTTTTCCCTCTTTAATAACTGTATACATAGATATGTTTGTTTATACATTAAAAATCTTTGTTTATGATTTGTGCAACGAGAAACTGACCTCATTTAATTGACATGAACTTCTATTTCAATTTTTGTTGTTGAACTATTTGTAAATGCGTTCAAACTTTAC